AGCGCGTTTTCACGCAGGCTGCAGCGCGCGTATGAGCCTTAGCTCTGAAATGTTGTAGTATAAAAGGAAAGAGATGCCATTTGGAAGGGGAGCCCGAAAAAGTGAAGAAAACATCAAAAGGAGGCCGAAATCCTTCATCTTGGAGGTCCTTGGAAGCTCTTCAATGGATATTGGGTTTTATCTTCTTTCATCTATTTTTCCATGTTGAGCTAGACATTAAATCTAGGACTTGATGTAGTTTTATTTGAACTATGTTTTGAATATTTTATTGATTATTAATTTAATTTAATTTTCAATTCATTTATGTTTCGCTATGCTTAATGCTTTTAATTTATTTGGCCAATGAGTTAGATGATTTTTAGATTGCAAATTTGATGCTCGGGAGAGATTGAATTCTTTATCTAGATTTGAGAAGCATAGTCTAGGTTGTTGTGAGACTGGGAGGAGATCAATGCTTAGATAATCAAATTAGGATTTAGGTCATTGTGAGGCTGGGAGGCAATCAATATTCCTATTTTCTAATTCTAAAGGCGAAGCTTAATTTGTGTTTAAATGTTCATTTCGAATAGGGATATTGTTTTGGGTATTTAAATACAATTTCTTGTGAGGCACTCGGGAAAGATTACGAGATGACATTAGAGCCTTGATTAATGAATTGAATGGAATTGATTAGCGATTACATAATAGGATGAACATAGGAATAATAAAGCGAAATCAAGTCCCTAGACCATTTGTGTATAGATACTTTATTTTCTTATTTTCATATATATTTTGTTTTATTTTCTTAATTGTCATTTTATTAGGTTCCCTAGATAAAGTTAAGTTACAATAATTGTGGTACTTAATGGCAATTCTAAACCCAATCCCTGTGGAGACGATACTCACTCACCTTATACTCAAAACTTGACGCCGTATGCTTGCGGAAATTTATTATACAAAATTAATTCACATCAACATGATGTTGTTAGAAATAACATTGATCATGATATGTTGGATGAAGTAGAAGCTGAGGTGTTAGGTGATGCGCATCATGATGAATTTAAAGAGTTGTTATCTGAGCTCGAATCGGCATGTACTATTTTGTCATTCAAATTATTTTACAAATTGTTTTTTACTGTAATATTGTCAAATTGATATATTGTCAATTTTGGATAACTTATAATGTTAATATTTTCGGAGTCAATATAGAGATTTAATTTATTCGATTCCTTTATTTTGTGAATCAAAACTTGAATTGGTGAACGAAACATTAGGGATTCTCGACACCTTACCGTTTTTACTACTAAATTTCCTTCATATAAATTTTCTCCTTTTTATTTTATTTGCAACAAAGTCTCAAAACTTTTCTTTTTCTTTAATTCAGTTGTTATTTATTTTTCTCTAACGCTCTTATTTTGCTAATCTTTCTTGTTTATTTTGTTACCTCTTTGTGGATACGACCGCCTTTCTGTGCTATAATTGACCGCTTGTGAACATCACTTTTGGGCGTTAATCAAATTTTGGTGCCATTGCCGGGGAGGTGCTACTAGCAAGAATGATCAGTAAATTTTGAGCCAAAGAGGTAAGTACATTTTTTCTATATTTTTATTATACTATGTTTTTTTTTATTTGGTCTGCGTGATCTGTTTGTTAACTCAAAAAAAAAAAAAAAAAAAAGAGTTGCATGCCGTGTTCTTTATTCATTTAGTAAGTTATAGTTGCTGCAAAAAAAATTTTCTAACGTCAAAGAAAAAAAAGTCACTTTTACCTTAAATTAGTATTTACCTTTTTCAATTTTTTTAATTTTCGTAGTTTTGTTGCTAAAAAGAAAAAAAAAATCTCACACTTTTTGGATTTATTTTTATTGCTAATTTTATTTTCCCTTTTAGTTTTAAAATTGATTGTGATTTGATTTTATAATCTTTTATTTTTGATAAATTAAGATTTTATTTTATTTCCCCATTTGTATATTTTAATTATTGACTATTAATTGTTGCCTAATTTAATTTTTCCTTTTAAGTCTTTATTAATTTTTAGGATTATGATTAGGTTGTAATTAGTTGACTAATTTAGATTCTTAATCTAGAAATTTCATGATTTGGTAGATTTAGGCTTTTGACTTTAGGAATAGTTTCTATTAATTAGATTTCATTTCATAATCTATTCAATAAAATTTAATAATTGATTTTGAGAATAATTGTGTGGTTACGTGGAAAGTACAATTGACGGAGTTCTATCTAGGAAAGCTGGAACTTAAGTGGACCTCGCCCCACCAATCTTTCCTGGGAACGTTGCTCTGTATAGGAGACTATTCATTGAGCCAAGAGCTATAGCCTTTCCTGGGAGTACTCTCGGTGGTTACAATTTACGTTACTATATAATTATTTTCTTTTGTTTTGATTAAAATTAAAAAAAATTAAAAAAAATTAAAAATTAAAAAAAGGGTTGCTTAGGGTGAATGCCGATATCGGTATAGAGACGAACTAGGGAGATTTGCACAACGACCAGACTTAGAAACCCCTAGTGAAATTCTATCTGACTCGTCTTCTACGCTTCCGTCTTCACACTCGTCGTTGGAATTCGCACTTCAAATTCTATTCACAATGGCACAACACGAGGAAGTTCAGCAGAGGACGTTACCAGATTACCTGAACCCAACGTGAACGGCCACCCTATCTTGCATCATGTTCCCACCGAATGCATCGCCTATGGATTTCAAGCCGATCATGATTGCACTTTTCCCAACCTTTCACGGGTTAAAGAATGAGAACCCATATGTACACATCCGGGAGTTTAAAGAGGTGGTGGCCACCTTTCACAGCTGTGCTGAGGCTGCAAATACTGTTAGATTAAAGTTTTTTCCTTTCTCTCTAAAGGACAAGGTCAAAAGCTGGTTGTATTCTCTTAGGCCCAGGTCTATGTGTACGTGGGAAGAAATGACGATGACATTCTTCAACAAGTATTTCTCACACCATAAGACCAATTTGAAATGGCAAATCTCGAATTTTGCTCAAAAAGAAAATGAAACTCTCTATCAAGCTTAGGAGCATTTTAAAGATCTGTTAAATTTGTGTCCCTACCATGGACATGAAAGTTGGCGTCTCGTAAGCTATTTCTACGATGGACTCATAATCCGAGAGTGCCAATTTGTTGAGATGATGTGCAATGGAGATTTTCTCCAAAAGGATCCTGACGAAGCCATCGAGTACCTAAATGAGTTAGCTGAGAAAGCTCATACTTGGACTGGACCGAGTGCTACTGAGAGCACCAGTAGGTCCCGACCAGCTGGAGTTTATAAATTAAGGGAAGAGGACAAACTCAAGGCCCAAGTTGAAGCTTTGACGAAGGAAATTGAGGCCCTCAAAAGTAAAGATAGTAAAGGACCCCACATGGTGGCAAGGACAGAGGCACATGAGCCCTGTTTCGTTTGTGGTGGAGAGAGCCATCTAGCTCAGGATTGCCACACTTTAAGTGAAATGAGAGGGGTATACGAGGAGCAGTGCAACGCTTTAGGCGTATACAGAAAACCATATACACCTTTCTCGGAGACTTACAATCCTGGTTGGAAAAACCACCCGAACTTTAGTTGGCGAGATTTGAACCAACATGCACAATCATCTGGATGGCAATGGAGATCAGAGTAACAATCTCAACCACCAAGGACATATTTTGTGCCTCAGAATAACATGCATCTGAAAGGGAATTCTCTAGAGGATACCATAAAAGCTTTTATGGACACGCAAAATAAAATGAATCAAAGGGTTGATTCAATGCTCACGCAGCTGGTGGAAGAAAACAAGGAAATCAAAAGTCAGATCACAAAGCTGACAGAAGCTTTAACCATTCAGGAGCGCGGTAAATTTCCATCACAAGCCCAGTCCAATTTGAGAGGACAACACATGGCTCAAACTTCCAACTCTAAAGGTCAAAATATCAAGAAAGTTAATGCCATCTCTACTCGAAGTTGTAAGAATTTTGACACGCCATCAACAAGTACAACTACTTCGAGTAATGAAGAATCGGCTCAGGAGAAAAAAGAGCCAACAAAAATTCCGGTAAAGGTACCTTTCCCCCAAGCTCTCCGACCACCTGGGAAAGTGCCGGAAAATCAAAGTGAGATCCTAGAGCACTTGACACAATTGAAGATCAATCTTCCCTTGCTACATGTGATCAAGTAAGTGCCGGCCTATGCCAAGGTTATCAAGGATTTGTGCACCATAAAGAGGAAGCACCATGTCAAGAAAATTGCATTCTTGACGGAATAAGTAAGTGCGGTGATTGAGCAGAAGACACTGCCGAAGTGTAAGGATCCATGTTGTCCCACAATTTCTTGCCAAATTGGGACACAAGAATTCGGCAAAGCATTACTAGACCTAGGATCAAGCGTTAACCTCATGCCTTATTCGGTCTACTCGCAATTGAGTCTTAGAGAGATTAAGCCCACATCTGTGGTTCTGCAACTAGCCGATAGATCCATTAAGAGACCACAGGGAATAGTGGAAGACGTTTTGTTGCAAGTCGACAAGTTTTATTACCCCCTGGACTTTCTTGTCTTAGATACACAGTCTGTGGTGAATATGGAGTCATCCATTCCCATCATTCTAGGAAGACCTTTCCTTGCCACAGCAAACGCACTTATCAATTGTAGGAATGGTCTCATAAAGATATCTTTCGGGAATATGACCCTTGAGATGAATATTTTTCATATTCAAAAGCAACCACGTGATGACGATGAGTGTCAATAAACATTCTTAATTGACACACTTGTCGAGGAGGAGGTTCAACTGCAAAGCAACTATGAAGATCTTGAAAACCTCCTCCAAAATTCTGATTCTAAAAATTCCGGTTCTGCTGAGTTGGCTCACTTGTCTGCAATTTTCAGCAGCTCACAAGACAGAGGAACTAAGTTTAGGCCACCATGTTTTGAGGAGCTCCAAACAGAAAGAGAAAAACTGAAATCATCCACCGAGGAGGCTCCAAAAGTCAAGCTAGCCCAATTACCTGAGGGCCTAAAACATGCATTCTTGAGAGATGAAGGCACATTCCCAGTCATCAAGCTGTCTAAACTCGATGCATTACAAGAATGACGATTGCTCGACATGCTGAAAGAGCGTAATTCTAGGATCAAGGTAAAAATGAAAGAAGCTCATGGCAAGCAGATCCTGAGGAAGAATTTTGAGCCGAATCAGCGGGTTCATCTCTATGACTCCCATTTGCTTCTCCACCCTGGTAAGTTGAGGTTGCGGTGGACTGGCCGATAGATCCATTAAGAGACCACGGGGAATAGTGGAAGACGTTTTGTTGCAAGTCGACAAGTTTTATTACCCCCTGGACTTTCTTGTCTTAGATACACAGTCTGTGGTGAATATGGAGTCATCCATTCCCATCATTCTAGGAAGACCTTTCCTTGCCACAGCAAACGCACTTATCAATTGTAGGAATGGTCTCATAAAGATATCTTTCGGGAATATGACCCTTGAGATGAATATTTTTCATATTCAAAAGCAACCACGTGATGACGATGAGTGTCAATAAACATTCTTAATTGACACACTTGTCGAGGAGGAGGTTCAACTGCAAAGCAACTATGAAGATCTTGAAAACCTCCTCCAAAATTCTGATTCTAAAAATTCCGGTTCTGCTGAGTTGGCTCACTTGTCTGCAATTTTCAGCAGCTCACAAGACAGAGGAACTAAGTTTAGGCCACCATGTTTTGAGGAGCTCCAAACAGAAAGAGAAAAACTGAAATCATCCACCGAGGAGGCTCCAAAAGTCAAGCTAGCCCAATTACCTGAGGGCCTAAAACATGCATTCTTGAGAGATGAAGGCACATTCCCAGTCATCAAGCTGTCTAAACTCGATGCATTACAAGAATGACGATTGCTCGACATGCTGAAAGAGCGTAATTCTAGGATCAAGGTAAAAATGAAAGAAGCTCATGGCAAGCAGATCCTGAGGAAGAATTTTGAGCCGAATCAGCGGGTTCATCTCTATGACTCCCATTTGCTTCTCCACCCTGGTAAGTTGAGGTTGCGGTGGACTGGCCGATAGATCCATTAAGAGACCACGGGGAATAGTGGAAGACGTTTTGTTGCAAGTCGACAAGTTTTATTACCCCCTGGACTTTCTTGTCTTAGATACACAGTCTGTGGTGAATATGGAGTCATCCATTCCCATCATTCTAGGAAGACCTTTCCTTGCCACAGCAAACGCACTTATCAATTGTAGGAATGGTCTCATAAAGATATCTTTCGGGAATATGACCCTTGAGATGAATATTTTTCATATTCAAAAGCAACCACGTGATGACGATGAGTGTCAATAAACATTCTTAATTGACACACTTGTCGAGGAGGAGGTTCAACTGCAAAGCAACTATGAAGATCTTGAAAACCTCCTCCAAAATTCTGATTCTAAAAATTCCGGTTCTGCTGAGTTGGCTCACTTGTCTGCAATTTTCAGCAGCTCACAAGACAGAGGAACTAAGTTTAGGCCACCATGTTTTGAGGAGCTCCAAACAGAAAGAGAAAAACTGAAATCATCCACCGAGGAGGCTCCAAAAGTCAAGCTAGCCCAATTACCTGAGGGCCTAAAACATGCATTCTTGAGAGATGAAGGCACATTCCCAGTCATCAAGCTGTCTAAACTCGATGCATTACAAGAATGACGATTGCTCGACATGCTGAAAGAGCGTAATTCTAGGATCAAGGTAAAAATGAAAGAAGCTCATGGCAAGCAGATCCTGAGGAAGAATTTTGAGCCGAATCAGCGGGTTCATCTCTATGACTCCCATTTGCTTCTCCACCCTGGTAAGTTGAGGTTGCGGTGGACTGGCCGATAGATCCATTAAGAGACCACGGGGAATAGTGGAAGACGTTTTGTTGCAAGTCGACAAGTTTTATTACCCCCTGGACTTTCTTGTCTTAGATACACAGTCTGTGGTGAATATGGAGTCATCCATTCCCATCATTCTAGGAAGACCTTTCCTTGCCACAGCAAACGCACTTATCAATTGTAGGAATGGTCTCATAAAGATATCTTTCGGGAATATGACCCTTGAGATGAATATTTTTCATATTCAAAAGCAACCACGTGATGACGATGAGTGTCAATAAACATTCTTAATTGACACACTTGTCGAGGAGGAGGTTCAACTGCAAAGCAACTATGAAGATCTTGAAAACCTCCTCCAAAATTCTGATTCTAAAAATTCCGGTTCTGCTGAGTTGGCTCACTTGTCTGCAATTTTCAGCAGCTCACAAGACAGAGGAACTAAGTTTAGGCCACCATGTTTTGAGGAGCTCCAAACAGAAAGAGAAAAACTGAAATCATCCACCGAGGAGGCTCCAAAAGTCAAGCTAGCCCAATTACCTGAGGGCCTAAAACATGCATTCTTGAGAGATGAAGGCACATTCCCAGTCATCAAGCTGTCTAAACTCGATGCACCGAGCCATGTAGAGAGATAGCCACGTGAGCCGAAGCCACAAGCCAAATTCTGCATGGGCCCCAGCTCTCCCACGTTCCCAACTCCACTTTGCATGTGTCACCTACACGAAAGACTCCTAGGGTGCGCGTCCTTCTTTCGCGCGATCTCCAGCGCGTTCCAATCCAAATTCCGCGTGGGTCCCGCACGACAGCAGCAGACCTACCGCTCTCCCCGCGCATACCACTTGTCCAATGTGGGTCCCACACCTATGATGCTAGCTGGACTTCCCAATGAATGCGCGCTATGTGTCCCCCAGCTGTCCTCTACTATGACCGCGCTAGCACATGCCAACCACTCTGAATGCGACACGTGATGAATTGTCTTCTCACTGCCAATCACATTGCGACACGTGTCCACGGAGTGCTGAGTCTGAGTTTCTTCCCCCAAAATCAGAGCAAATTACCAAATTTCCTCCTCAAATCATATATATGATTTATCCTAATTTATGTGTAATTTTATTTTATTTCCTTTTTTTTTGTAATTTTCTATTTTTATTATTTATTTCCTTATTTGATAGGTAACCTCTGAACACTTAAATAAAGGGGTTAGCCTAAGATTTTTTGGAAGCTTTGAATATTCATTTTTCTGTCGTCTTGCTGTTAGTCTCATATTTTCTCTCTAGAACTTGTGAGAAAGTTTTGCAAGCTAGGCTAGAGTTCTCATGGTGAGGTGAGAGATGAACTTTTGTTGAGTGACCCAATTCGGGCTTTTGATTCCTTGTGCAGTAATGTTCAATATCTGAATGAATTAAATTGCATCTATCTTTAATTTATTTTTCAAAATATTGTGTCAATTTTTATATAAGTTCAGTCACACTTTTATTATGTAATTCTGTCATGCACTATTTTGTCATTCAAATTATTTTACAAATTGTCTTTTACTGCAATATTTTCAAATTGATATATTGTCAATTTTGGATAACTTGTAATAATAATATTTTCGGAGTCAATATAGAGATTTAATTTATTCGATTCCTTTATTTTGTGAATCAAAACTTGAATTGGTGAACGAAACATTAGGGATTCTCGACACCTTACCATTTTTACTACTGAATTTCCTTCATACAAATTTTCTCCTTTTTATTTTATTTGCAACAAAGTCTCAAAAACTCTTCTTTTTCTTTAACTCAGTTGTTATTTATTTTTCTCTAACGCGCTTATTTTGCTAATCTTTCTTGTTTATTTTGTTACCTCTCTGTGGATACGACCGTCCTTCTGTGCTACAATTGACCGCTTGTGAACATCACTTTAGGGCGTTAATCAGTGGGTAACAAGGAAAATGTGACATTCGGCTCAAGGGGGTATACTAGGGATAAAAATATATCACGGCAGGCTCGAAAGGCTCAACCGATCCAAAGATGACCTAAATCATTTTCTTGGTAATATGAAGTATAGCATTTCGCCTCAAGAGAAAATCAAACAAATTCTAGGACTTTTGAGATTAAGAAAAATCACATATTCACGTAAACATTCTCTAAATCAACATGCAATTCAAAGATCAAGGCATAGTGCTCAAATATGGAATAATCACAATCAAAATAAAACTCACTCAAAAAATTAAACACACACCTAGACAAAATTCACTTTTCCAAAAGCTATAAAAATTATCAACCATAGTCTCATAATTGGAATGAGGAAAATCACCAAAGAAAGCACAAATCATCTCAATTTATTCAAAATAAAGAAACACTTTTTTTTCAAAATTCTTTTTTCTTTTTTTGAAACAAAGAAACGTTTCACCCTCTAAGCTCTATATGCACATCATCCTCAAAAGTGTAAGCAGTCAAGACAATAAGAAAAAGTTTAAGAAACTCCCCTTTTTTGTTTTGGTGTTTAGGCTTGGTGCATGATAGCTTCCTTGAATTTGCACTGCCTCTCGTTGGCTCCACCACTTGTACCTAAAAAATAAAGAAAAAAATTAAAAAATAAAAAGTTTCTAAACCCTAAAGACTCAAACCGAACAAGAAAAATGCTAGGAAACTTGGATTGCCTCCCAAGAAGTGCTTGCTTTAATGTCTTCAGCCGGACGTTTGGAGAAGTGCTCGTCAAAGACCGGCTTTTGCCCATAATAAGTGTCATACAACACGATATATGGTTCTAAATTATGGATGCCCTCAAGCTTGGCATAATAAGTACTCGGCACATTATTCCAACATGACTTCACTTTGATTGATGATGAGCTTGGAAGGAGAAGTTCTCTTTTAGCTCGATCTTGTAGAGGACATAATATGGTGACGGTGGTGTCAGAGGGAAATAAGGATCCGTTGTTGGTGTGTATGATAAGACCACTAATGAGCTCAATTCAATGGTCTAGTATGCTTCTTCATCCTCCAATGGTTCTCGTACCCCTTCTTCCTCTAGAAAATCCTCAAATAATCCCTCCAATTTCTCTTTACTCTTAACTTCGCTATCCATAGCCATGCATGCAATTTGATCTTCATAAAACTCATGGTTTTGGATGGACACCTCGTTACTTAGCAAAT